GGGACTATGTCTCCCGGCTGGCCTGGGAACGCCTCGCCATTCCCCCGGAGGAGCTGGAGGAAGTGTCTGGAGAGAGGGAAGTCTGGGCATCTTTGCTTAGACTGCTGCCCCCGCGACCCGGTCCCGGATAAGCGGAGGAAAATGGATGGATGGATGGATAAAATGTATCATGATCATCCACTCATACTGACAAAGTGTTAAAAACTGTCTTTTGCATTGCTCCCCTGGATAATCCTAACCTTTTAGTTAAACTCCAGTCTGAGCTCTAACCCCAACTCGCTTTTACAATCCAGTCTTTAGATTACCCGTAACCCAAATACTGAAGGTCAGTAGACTCAATTTCTCACCACTTGAAATATGACCAACAAAGTTTAGAGACACATTGTGGCCACTTAATAGATGGTATCAATGCATCAAAACTGATTTACCAAGAACAGTGACTGATTCTCAGGGGGAGAGGTTTGTTGCTAACCTGTGCATTCCCTTTCTCTCCCTGCAGAGGGCAGTGTGTCAGACAGTACCACCCAGCCCAGCTCAGCACCTGGATCCATCAACAACATCACCTGAGCATCCATCCCTCTGTCATCCTTTCTCTTTTGTCTTCCCCTTTTTCCATTTCATCTCCTCTGCTCTTCTCCCTCTCAACCTTCCTCCTGGCTCCAAACCCTTAAACTTGAGAAACAAAAAATTATACACACCCACATAAACACCAAGCATTGCTATGTACCCTGAATGTTGAAACAATACAAAGTGATTTCTGTAGCTGCTATCTTCAGAAGGGGGGTGTGGATTGTTTTTAAGGACATTTAGCTAGCCCAGCTTGGGCTTCATATAAGCTGCAGCACAAAGTCCAGGGTATACATGTTATGTGGATTTGTTGTATTATAATTAACAGTTGACTTTTATCCCTTTTATGTTCATTTTATTTGCATTGGCTAATTTTGTGTCCGTCCATGGTGCCATTTAATGTGGCCCTGACTGGATATGGAGCTGAAAACAAGAGCCGTGTGTGAGCCCTAACTAATATTGACAATCATGCTTAGTTGGGCCAAAAATGGTACACTTACACTGTACGTAGTGTTTGATTGTATAGCCCACCGAGGTAGTTATGTGGCTATTTGGTCACTTTCTAACCTGATCTTTACTCAAGTATTGTCACTTCACCCAGGTCAGTGGTGAACAAACGTGAGGGTTTTTTTTTTTAACTCTCCCAGTTTGATACCAGATAAACATAATGGCTGATTTTGTCCGTTATTTTAGATAAAGAGGTTGTTTTAAATTTTATTACAAAGGAGGGCACCACAGCCTGTATTTAGTTTATTTTTTAATATTGGCTCCTCAACTGACTTTATGTGAATGAGAGGGAGCTTTAAATGAGCAGACTGCACACATCTTTAGTGTCCTTAGTATACGCTCATGTTCTCATTGATTAAGCTGGAAACAAAGCATTTCATGGTGATTCTCAAATGATTATTGCACATCTTGAAAGGGAGCAGAGGGAAAGCAAAGGGGAGAGTTATGTCTACTGTCAAGCTGTTAACATAACTTCACACCGAGGGAGCTGTTGGTGTCAAACTTCATCTAATACAGGAGCCTCAGTGTTTTCGATGTCGTAAACCCAGTGACCTAGCACTGTATGGTGAATAGTCACATAATTAATTGTCGCCTTTACAGTATTAATTTTAATATCGGCTAGATTATGTTGAAGAATGAAATCGGCTACAGAGAGACTACTGGCCACCTAGTTTGTCACTGTCATTGCAGCTAGTATCCACAGTTAATGTTAGTGCAGGTGTATGACTCTGTGAATGGATTTTGTTTGCTTTGTGAGAGAGAGTGGTTGAAACCTTCTTTGCCCCATCCCACATAGCCTGTCTCTGACATGTCTTTTTCCTGCAACACACCCCACACAGTGGTAGGAACTGCTCTTGAATGATTCGTGTAGCTTAAAGGTCCACTGTTAGCGTAATTATTATTTTTTCCCCACCACACAAGTGTCCATGCTCAGCCCAAGTTGACCACACTATCTTACTACCACTAATGTCTGTAATCTGACCAGAAATGATGCTCAGACCCCTGAAACCCAGCAGCTTTTGGAGCCTCCCCTTCCATTTCTTATCCTCCTCCCTCCACCTTCTGCTTCCCTCTCTCCTCCTTTTTTCACTGCTAAACTGTAAATATCAAGTACCTTTTATTTTATTTTGTTATTTTTATTATATTGTTGTTCTTGTAATTTTTTTTCTCTAGTAGACCGGCGCAGCAGCAGCCGGACTGTTTTATCCTCAGTCGCAGTTTGTAAATACAATTTCATTTCAGTCCCTGGTTCACACGGGGAAAAACAGAACAAAATGTTTCATTTTTATTCTCTCTCCCTCCATTTCTCTCTTCACAACTTTCCCTTTTCCCCCATAAATGTTATAACTGTTTTATTTATTGTATATTGGGGGAGGGGGGCTTTAAGTTTCCACAGGGGTGGTAAAATTGGGGGATTTGTGCTTTTGTTTTAGTTTTTTAATTCCAAATTTTAGTCCATCAGTGTCACATGCTAAATGAGGTCACATCCAAGATACTGTACTCTGATCCAGGCGTTGGAGTGTGTGTTCCACTTAGTATGTACACAGGTGTACATGCTAGCCAACAAGTGGAACTCCAGCTTTCAATTTAACTTCAGCATGAAGGGAATGTTACAAGCCTCTGGATCTGTGGGATTGTGATGTTTGGAGGAAGCTCTGATCACCATGTGTGTGTGAGTATATGTGTGTGTGTGCGTGTGTGCGTGCATGTGCCTGTGCCTGGAGGATAGGGGGAAAATGAATCTGTGACTTGACCTGTATCATCTCCTGTGTCCTACCGTCTCCTGTTTTCACTTACTGTGTGTTGTACGAGTGTAACTGCTTTGACCTATGGTCAGTATGTATGTTTCATAGATACTTGGTGAATTTTTTTGAGCACAGCTGCAGGGAATGTATGTGTGTTTGTATGTGTGCTGGCAGACCATGGACATTATTCTCTGTACTTGTTCCTAAATGAAGAGCTGGCTAAACGTACTATTTTAATGTTTCTTTTTCTATCTTCTGATCTGCCTCACTTTCTTTTTAATTTACTGTGACCTTGCTCTTTTATCACCCTTGTCTGAGGTGTAAATGTCATCTTAGGGAACAGAACGGTTGGATAAAGGAGATGATGAGGAGAGAGAGATGGAGTGAGAGAGACAGTTTTGGTTTGTTGGTATAAATAATGAAACTCATTAATAAAGTGATGAAACTGTTCCTGTCTCATATTCGTAATTGAATAATTGAGCCATGTTAACATGATCACAGTGGGACACAAGTGATACATATGAACAGCATGTTGATTGATTACTCGCTTGTTCTGTGTATACAGAGAAAGACATCACTAATTTGAAATGTATTTTTACACATTTTGAGCTTCTCCCCACTGAGTGTGTGATTCTGCAGTTATTGTGAGAAGGGTTCACATCATAGAGCATAATTATTCATTGAACAATAAGGTTTTCATCTTAAGAAAACATACACAGTGCACGTAGAGTAAGATGAAAATGGGGTTAATAAGGGCCAAGCAGCTCCTTTTTGCCCCTAAGCCTCCAGCAGATAAACCCAGCTGTGCAGACATGCATAATACCAGTGGTGCATAGTAGTAAAGTCACTCAAGTGCTCTACTAAGGTATAATTATTAGGTGCTTAATTTTTTCTGCTACTCAGCTACATTTCACAGGTAAGTAATGTACTTTTTACCTCATCAAATCTACTTGAGAGATCTAGTCACTGGATACTTTTAAGATGAAGTAACATAATGCCACATTCTGTTGCACAGTAACTTTTAAGGTAAACTACATCTTGCTGATAATACTGTTGTACTTTAGTAAAAGTAACATTTAGAATGCAGGGCCTTTCCTTGACATTTTCACAATGTGGTATTGGTACTTTTACTCAAGTCGGCAGTAGAGGTAGTCATTAGTAATGACATGTCAGGATTTCTGTCACAGCTTGTTTTGTTTTTTTTATCCCTGTCTCTCGCTATTCCTTGTATCTGCCCCCAGCCACATACACTATTCCCAGTTTCCTTGCTCGTCAGTTCCCTCACTATTTAAACCTGCCTGTTCCATCTGCTCTCTGTCATGTTTCTGTGTTAACTTTATACTGTTCCAGCTGCGGCCTCCTGTTCCTGCCATCTTTATGTGTTGCCCCCCCTTAAGCCTTGGTTATCTTTGTCTTAATTAAAGTTTCTGCGCGTGCCTCTGCATTTGGATCCCCCTTCCTAGCTCTCATTTGTACACCACCTGATAAAGCTATAAAATGGAAGGGTCATACTTCAGAAAGTGGGGCTAAAAAAGTTTTTAGTTGCACATCAGCTTAAAGAACAGTGAGATGGGGCCAAGAACACTAAGCCATTCAGTTTTGTTGGAGTGCCTCTTTTCTTGTGCTTCTTTATTGTGCCTTTACTTCACCCAGTTTCTAGGCTTTTTTCAATGTATGAATGCCCCCTTACTCCTACAAGGAATATTAATAACAATTTGCTGAAAATAAAGCAGCATTCACTTGATGTGAAAATTTTGAATGTGCAGAACATTCTAAACTTTCTTTTCAGGTATGAGTCATAGGATTTGCTGTAGCTTTGTGTGAAATCTTTTCATGAGGGGATTAATGAAATGAAGCTGTCATTATGCAATCAGATGGATCAGTGAACTCTGAAAGGGACCAGTTGGAGAATGATGAAATTAGAATGGTTGTTATGGGAACCATGTGATTGCAAATGTCAGTGGGAATGTGTTTGACCTTGACGTATGAAATCTTGCACTTCCACAGTTTGATTCTGTGAGATGTGTGAAAGGCAGGGAGGGGTAGGCACTGGAGCAAAGACAATTGACATGTGGGTAGTCATGCTTTTCAGTGGTGCACTTTGTCTTTATTTCTTCTTTAACATTGTCTCACTTCTGTTTCAAAATATATATGCGTTACATTTGATTCCATGGCTTCAAGGATCTTCACCACGCATCTCAGCCTTGAGTGAATATCTTCATGGCCACTCACCAACAACCAAGGAAGTCTATCTCACGCACAACTGTCTCGGAACAACTGACACTCATTTTTTATTCAGACGAGAGCCTGCTGTTCACTGCTGTAAAAGAAGAGCAGGATTTATTGATGTCTCAGGGTGTCCATGAACTTCCTTCTTTCATCTTCCTCTGTGTTGAGTAGAAAATATTTAAGACTCTAGAGGAATCGTTGCTGCCTGATGCTTAAAAATTTCTGGGTTACCTTTAAGTCTGCCCCTCAGGTTTTCAGCCAAATTAATACTTTGTCCTTGTAAGACCTGGCACAGTCCTTATAAACATGATGTGAAGCACAATTTAGAAGAAAGAATTAAGCTTATAATATATTCGTGCACTTGTTTCTGTTAGATAATGTTGCATTTTGTGTGGGCAGAAGACACCTTGTGATATGTGGTGACTTATTTATTAGTAAAATACTTCTTTGTTATATTTTCTTCAGGTAAACTATTGTCATATTGGTATTAAATACCGCCAGGAGTTTGTTTCAGCAGTACTGGCAGTTTTTTTTTTAAGTTTCTGTGTAACTGACATTGTAATATCTACAATGGTTGATGGCACAGTGCCAGTATAAAGGTACTTTACAACTAAATATCAATAGCTTTATAAGGATAAGATTGATAAATATTAATAAAGGTGACCAGCAACAGCCACCATAGCAGCTCTATCAGGCTGTTTAGTTACATTTCTAACATACTGCTAACTGCTACCATACCGTTGTTTACCATGTTACTGGTAACTCTTACATTAGCTAATTAGCGCTAACCAGAGTAGTATCTGAGACTAAAGGGAATTCTGTTGGTTTTACAGGTATTTGTAGGCCAGATGGGTAGTTCATTCTGAGGGGAGACATAAATGTCCAACAGATATAGCCTTTACTGATACAGGTACTGATACTTTTGAATGGTTCTTCTCAAAATACTGCTGTAGTCACATTTTTCCCACAGAAAATACATAGGCCTACAACTAGAGAAGAAGGATCCTCCAAAATATAGAACTAATAAAATGTAGTTTGTGGTGATGTTGAATTGTATTGTGTAACACTGATGTGTTTTCTATTATTTTGTGTACCAAATTTTTAAATCATTATATAATTGAATCAGCACCTCTCTAAAACATCTTCATGAAGGGAGGATTTATTGCAGGCCTCTTGTATTAGACTATGGATGTGATATTATTGAAAGCTCCAGAACAGCTAAATGAACAACTGACACCAGCAGCTGCAAGTTTTAAAAGAGTGAGTACTCAATGCTGTGTGACAACACAGCCCTTCTCTGCTGGGACCTGCAGTTTCTGAACCAGAACTGTCACTGGTAAACATGTCTGCAAGTCTTCATCATGGTGATATGATATGTCAAAGGTGAATAATTTTAATAGGTGTATTGAGTAGATGGCACCTTTTTTTCAGCCTGAATGGCCCTGGTCCCTCTGGCTGCATGCATGACTGGTTCTTAAATATCATTTGTAGTGATGTTAAGCAGTCTGCAAAAACTTCTCATCTTACCAGTCAGCCGCTGGGGCACACCAGGGCACTGTGTAATTCTAGGAAATAAGTGAAGCTTCCACTGATATCTGTTTATAATATTTAATGCAGCCGAATTAAATGGTCTTACACTTGTATAGCGCCTTTCTATGCTTTTACAGCACACTCAAAGCGCTTTCACATTATTCGGCCATTCACCCATTCGCACTCCCAAGCACTCACACAACTGGGGGTTCAGTGTCTTGCTCAAGGACACCTCGACATGTTGACTGGACAAGCCGAGAATCGAATCCTCCGGTTAGGAAACGACCCGCTCTACCTCCTCAGCCACAGCCGCCCCCGATTGAGATGCGTCATGCAGCTGCCTGTACTGAGTTTGAGGAGGGATATTTTATAGGCTAGTTCCAGCAGCACCAATGACTCCTCGTAACCCTGGACCTGTGCGGCTCGGTAATCAATCAATTTTTTTTTTTTTTTTACCGTTTTTACCGTTTACACTGCTCTACTGGCGCGCTTTCGAATTACAAACTCCCTCAGTGGTATGTGTAGTCAAACCCTATTGGTGTATGAACTGATCGCTACAGCCAATCAGATTGAGCCTTCTACCATGCAGAAAAAACTGAAGTTGTCCTGTTTCCTCGATCGGTAACGTCTACGTTCGGTGAGTTATGTTGAATTAATTATATATATTATATATAGACGGTACTTTTTCTGTGATATATATTACATAATTATATTTATGTATGGAGGAGTTCAACGGGGGGAGACAGTTAATGTTAACTTTTAGTCTGTCGCCGCCATTATACCACCGAAGAAGCGTATCCCGCCTTCTATCTTCGGTATTTTCTTCTTCTTCTTCTCCTTGGTACTACAAAGTAAGCACCAAGTGGTAAAGGGGTTTAGTTGTTAGCCAATCTAGCAACGACGTCAGCTATCAAGAATTTATCCCATGGTTGTTTCATTAGCTTCTCGGCTAGCAAGAGAGCTAGCTACCACGCAGTTAAGCCTTGTCGCTAGAAAGATGGCCATCGTTGTATGTTACCATCACAGTACTAGTCAGCGATAATACAGCTGGCTAGCTAGCAGCTAACAGTTAGCTTCGAACAGCTGTGGGTCTGTCGTTCACGTTAGCTCAGGTCAGACCCCAGCAAAACTGTCAAAGGGACTAACATGAGGCTTACTCTTAGCCGGCGATTGCATTAAATGTGACTGACTGGTATGTTTGTCGTCATTGTCCGCTTGTGAATCAACATCGGACTGACATTGCCCCTGTCGCAAATACTCATAATTACTGGCTCGTGTTAGGTCATCCTCCATAATGCAGGTCATGGACTAATATACATTGCGTTTTAGGTCCACGTAGCTCACTAATACCAGCGTGTTTCACGAAGGAAGGGTACTGCTTTTGCTTTCAGGTAAATGGCCAAAAGCCGATACAAATCATGGCCGAAATAATCTGAGAGGCCCCATGTCAAAACTTAGTTATTGAGCCCCTGCTCTCATTAGGCCCCCAGATACCAACCAGCACTCAAGAGATGAAATGTTTAGTTGAGTAATCAGTTAAATGATTGACAGTAAATTAATTGGCAAAACTTCAATAATTGATTAACTGTTTATCATTTTTAAGTATAATGTCAAAATTGCCCTAGTATCAGCTACATTTTTTGTGATCGTAAAATAAAAATCATGGCAGTAAAATGTATCTTTGTCATTAATGACGTTTCAACGCTCAACAATCACTTAATAAAATAATTATGAGATTATTGATAAAGAAAATGTTATAAAATGATTTGATGGAATAATATGGCCTTACCTGAGGTTTTCTGCATAATTACTTGACATACAAACATTTTATGTAGTTTGATTAAACAACTTTTAAAACTATTTCAATATAAACAATTTAAGTCTTAAAATTAGATCTTGACGTCATAAGATGGAGGACCAGTCATATTAATTTAACTTGTACACATTTATGACTAATTAGTGATCAATCAAGGCATGCACACCCAAGTGATATGCAATGAACCTAAGTACTAAATCAACAGCAGCAGTACAGCCTTGTGTGGCAAATTAAGACCGTAAGTTAAAAAGTGTATCACATTGTCATCTTTCAAAGGTATTATCGCAGTACCAGTTAAAAGTTTGGACACACTTTCCCATTTAATTCAATGGGAAGTGCATGTCCTTCAGTAGTTTTATTTGTTAAGTTCTTTTGTTGAAGTAAGAGTTTTGCTAGTGCAGTATGAAGTCTGACTGGTATCCAGTACGTGGGGAGGACTGAAGCACAGTATTTTCATTATAGTTACATTCAGTAGCATTATGAGCTAGACTGCGCTTCCAGTGGGTCCAATTACAGCACATATCTAATTGATGTTGGAGCTAAATGTCGGCTTGACCCATGAAATGGCAGTGAGAGAGAAACACTTGGCAAGGTCTCTACCTAAGCAGCAACCTACATGGTCAAAATAACAATTAGTCCAAGCTCAGTGCTTTGTGAGTCATCTTGGCAACCTCAGAGTTCGCCACCTGGCACTTCAGTCCAAGCTGTTATCCTGATAATATATGCAGGCACTTCATTTCATCAGGAGAGGGCAACCTAACTTCAAATCTAATGCACTGGTGGCTAGGCATTTGTATGAAGCTCACATTGTGATATTACTTTCACATTCAAATCATGTTGAGTTTTGTGAACTGTTGCACTTTTATTTAAATCAGTTTTGCATTCCTCTGTCTCTTATGAAATGCTTTTGATTTCTACTCCCATGGCAGCTATGGAGGCAACGTCAGTGTACATGTGCTTCCCCTGCTACCAGGAGTTCAACACTCTTGAAGAGGTACTCAAACACCAGTTAACGTGCACTGCTGATGAGGAACAGCCAAACACATCCGGAGCCACCCCTGTTACTTTTCCAGTGCTACAGGCTCAGGTAAATACTGGCACAGTCAACACTTTGTCATGTGATTGAGTCTGGGTGTTTTAAGTACAAGGATAGACAATCGTCAGCTTGTCACTGCATAAAAGCTTCTGAATCATATCTAGAGAATGACATTGAAGTAACATGTACAACTTTAGTCATAAATTGATTGAAGTGACTTCATAAAATAGGTTCAAGGTCTAGTGTATCTTCATTTATTTGTTAGGCTGGATTCCCCTTTCTACTTGCACTACACTACAACACATGCATGCACATACATTATACTAGTAAACATTTTAAATATAAGCTGAAAAAACTGGATCTGAAAAACACACTACTATGATACTTTAGGGACAGACATTTATCTTTAAAATGTCCGTGCAGATTCTCAGTCATCAATGTCATAGAAAGCTGAAAAACTTAGAAAAAAATCAACTGGACTAGGTTTTTAGGTCGAAGACGTTTCACCTCTCATCCAAGAGGCTTCACCAGTTCTGCCCGACTGGCATTGAGTTGGAGATTCTTTTGAGGACAGTGAAGTTCAGATCTTCTCCAGAGAACGTCGCTAGTTTGAGAGAGGAGTCGAGGAAGCAATTTTTGTCCAAATAGAACACCCCTCACTAAATAGGGACCGTGGACTAAAACACAACTTGTCATCCATCTACAACTTTGTTTTGAGATCTCTGCCCAAACATGCCCACCAGGACAATAGGCGTCGGTTCACAGGTGAGGGTTCAAAGACAGGTAACGTCACTCACCGATACTGGGCTATAACGAATCAGTCATTAGGGGACATTGTTGGGCATCAAAGGACTGAAACACCACCGATGGGGATAAATATCTCTGACTCATCGCCAGTTGGGCAGAACCGATAAAGCCTCTTGGATGAGAGGTGAAACGTCTTCAACCTAAAAACCTAGTCCAGTTGATTTTTTTCTAAGTTTTTTCAGCTTTCTGAGACATTAATGACTGAGAATCTGCACGGACATTTTAAAGATAAATGTCTGTCCCTAAGGTATCATAGTAGTGTGTTTTTCAGATCCTTAATTTTTACTGCGTTAAATTAGCAGTGGCTGTCTACTATAGCATACAGCTTATTCAACAGCTTTTTTTCTAAGTACTTAATTGCTACCTAGACCTGCTTTCTGTCTAGAGTAATGGCAAAATAACACATTAGCACAGTGTTTATCAGAGTAATGAGTCACCAGTGAGGCAAACAAGTGTAACAGGCACAAAAGTGGCAGCGCTATAAGTGGAATGATTATGGATCATGGTGTGCTTTTAGCTTTATATTTCAGAATGTATGACATGTTTCATATCTCAAATTAGCTTGGATCTGTTGATTCACACTTCAGTTTTGTCAGTTAATTTATGTTGTAACATATTGGCCTGTGGAAAGAGGAGTTTTTCTTTTTTCTGGTCATATGATTTTCAGTTTCCCCTTTCAATAGCAAGAGTACTGCATTTTCCACTACCATTTTTAGGGCATTTTTAATTAATTGTGCAAATCATAGTTTATTAAAACCGGAAGGAAGGGGAGCAGAAGAGCCCAGACTGAGGTCCAGCATGTCATATTTACACGGTGTCCTCTGAGGCCAGGTAAATCACCAGAATGTTCCTCCAGTAACTTTTTTTTTTTTTTCAAGAGAATTGAAAAAGGAAAACAAGTAGGGTTTTTTGTCCCTTGTGACAAGGCTATCCTTTTGCTTCTGTCTGCAAGGGCTACAGCCTGTGTCATTTTAGTGTTTTCCTGCTGTGCACTAAATGTATCCTGAATGTAAATTCAGTGGTATTTCTCTTGTGTGGCTCAGTGAATTTGAGACCCCTGTGGATCTTTTCATAATGCATAGTATTCATAGTGTGCTTTTTTTCCATTGTGTCCTGTTTATAATATGTTCTCTTGGAATACATTTCATCAAATGCTGAGCTCTAGCAATACAGAGTCCTGCAAAGACACTATTTGCTTCAGAGTTTATCTGTTTAACTTTGACATATTGAACTGATTCTTGGTGCAACTGGTACTTTTTACTTTTACCTTTTTTACCACAGCTTCAGAACACCCTCAGGGTTAAAAGCAGTCATTGGCCTTTGTTTAGCATCAGGGCATGGCTGGGTGAGTTTCTGCCCAGACTCCTTCTTACAGTCTTCAGCACACGTCCATAAAGCACGGTCACTGTCAGGGCAGACAGATTGCATCTTGAGTTGCCAGCGGGAAGAGGAGCATGAGAAATGCATCAGTCAGTGCCATGCTTTCTCTGATGGATTGCTCATGGGCCTTCTCATAGTTGAATCAGGTGGAGAAATATTGTAAAACCTCTGCACTTTATGGCTTCTTGGCCCCTATTTTGCCATAAGATGGTTAATTGCAAGCATCTCCACTTCATTAGCTAGATGATCATAATTTATGTGTACATTATGTGACACGGACTAAAACAATGGCTCTTTCAAATGGATCCTGAGGGCTCTTTTAACAAACTTTTGTGCCCATCTCTCAGATTAGTAATTCAATCCAAAGTGTAATTAGCACTTCCTCTTTTCTTCTGTGTCTGAACATGAGACATACTTAAAAGAGAATGAGCTAACCTGGAACTGTCTCCCCAGAACTGCTCACTAAACAAGTTTGCCTTGTAAGTGATTTAGTTCATCAGAAGTGCACCCTGCTCTGACTACACAGATTCACCCATCCTTATTTCCTTTTTGGACCAAAGTGTAACTCATTTGCAAACGTCCTTATGAACTTAGTAAAAATATGCACTTTACCTCTCACACCATTAGAAGAGCTCCAATATTGTTTCAGAAATTAGATAATGAAAATCTGTTTGGGCTGCCACCTGAGAGCTTAAATCCTTTAGTTTTCTAGTTTTAAAAATTGTAAATGTGTCAAATGCATGGTCAAGTGTTGTTAGATATTAAATTTGGCACACTATAATTTGACGTGCACTATATGCGCTTCATTCAGTCTTGATGTTCTGGTGGCTCACAGCTTTTCTTGCTGATGATGTCAGTAAAATTAGTTTCTGCCAGTTTTGTAGTTTAATACACGGAAATTGGAAAAACTTAAAAAGGTAAACAGTAGACAAGCTGTTGAAATGGCTGATTCAAATAAATATAAGCTTTAAAGTTTTCTGTATGCAAATTAGAAAAAGAAATACCAAGATACATTTATTCAGGATTAGACTGGTTTCCAAGCTTAGTGTGGGTAAATGGGCAGTGCAGACAAAAGCTTGCAGGACAAGAGTAGGACCAGGTCATTCATCATATAGGGATGTGCTTTTGTGTTTGGGGGTATCCTCCTCTGTTGAGGCCTCAGCACCGGTTAACTACACCCAGTCAAGCCATAATAATTTTGAGTAGCCATCTGGCTGTGTTTTGGCTGATTAAAACTATGCACAGCAGCTGTTGAGTAAGTAATAATGGAGAAATATAAACCAAATACAGACCTTGTGCACTTGTCACATATTGTAGGTCAAAATGACTCAATGTTTTATTTTCCTGTGAGTATACTGTATGCTTACAACTGGTATAGTATAAATACATGGAACCTCCAACTTAAACATGAAAAACACTGACTTGTCAATTGTATTAGTAATAAGCATGACTTATCTGAGAGGGTGAGGCCACACTACTTGGGTACTTAAAGAGTAAATAAAAATGTTCAGAATTTTACAGAATTTCAGTTTTTCATTGTGATGTTTCCTTTGAAAGATGTTGGTTGGAGGTGAAAAAACTATTGATCAGATATGTGAAAAAAGAAAAGCAGCACAGTCTCGGTTTTAAAACTGTCCGAGGTCTTTTGTGCACAGTGTGAAAAGCCCTATTCAGAATGTTAAAGACCTGTCCACTTATCAGAAGAATCACCAGTTAAAGATTAGTGCTGCATAACAAGGTTTAAGCTTTTTGCATGTCAGAGAGAGGGAGTCGTTTTTGGTGAGCCAGGGTTCACGTATGATTGAGCTGTGAGGAAGTTAGCAGAAATGCTAGTAGGTCTTATGAGTGACTTTGTGCACATTTGTGAATTGCCTTACACGCCTTTTTGAAATGTTGTAAGTTGACTAGACTGAACAAAAACTCTGCATCTTTATAAAATGGCATAAGTTCTCCACCGTGTCAAGCTTCAATAGAGTTGAAACGTTTGCTAGTGGCAACAGTTAGCCTGAATTATTAAGAGAGTAGATGACGATTTGTGTTGAATGTGTGGATGCAGGCGAAGAGGGGGGTGGTTCTGGGATGCTGGAACACACCGAGCCTTCTCAGTGTCGTGGGCCCAACTCAGTGAAACACCAGTTAGTGAGACAGTGCCCCCCCCCGATGACCCCCATAGGCTTGCCTTCACTCCTATATCCATACAGAACTTGTGTTGGTGAGATTATAGCTACAGACTCACCAGAATTGTTAATAGTCTTCTTTCATTAGACAATCTTGATAAAACAGTGTCAGTGGTTGGTCAGCTGAGCAGTCCCGGCTCGCAGAGGTGTTCGCCAGTTCGACCAGCCACTGCTTAACCTGGGCAATACAACACTGATGCTGTTTGTCAAGCCACATACTGTGTCTGCTCTTTGCTTGGATGAGGATTGGATTCAGGGATGCTTTGTCTTAAGAGCAGGTTAGGTCTCAAAAATAGTGTTGCTTATTTTGGGCCTCTGAAAAATTATGATGGCATGGCTTGCCACCCCCCACCTCCCTTTTGGGGACAAATAATTGGTAAACATCATTTAACTCGTATACTGAGCTTCCATATAAATGCTCTCCTCCCATTCTTTGAACCATTTAACTGTGTATTATTGAAGATAAACCAGCTTTCTTTACATTTCAGATTAGTTCAAAATATTGAGGTTGATTTTGACTGATCCTGACTTGCTGCTCCATCCCAGGCTTGGTTGATGTAGACAGAAAGCAGTTAGTCAGACTGTGCTTTATAGCCAACAAAATTATATTCTGTGCCACCCTGATAAAAATGCATTTGTCCTTTTATTGACAAGATTTAAAGCTCTCACCAAACAATGTAGCTTTAACTAAACATAACTTGTTCCTTGCCTGTGACATAATGTTTTAACATTTTGCTCATGACACAGTTAATAATATTTTATTATTCACTTTGATAGCGTGGACAAGCTAAGCACATCACTGTAGCTTTAAAATGCTGTGAATTGTGCCAGTTTCAAGTGGCAGTGGAGACACGAGCTTACAGTCTTTTAAAGGTTAGAAACAGTAATTCTCAGCAGACCATGGGCCAAGCCTTTCTTATCTTCAACTGGTTATAGAAAGATTAAATTATCTGCAAAGTTGAAGGTTGGTGCAGACTATGACCCCATTAACATACAGCTTGTATTTGAAAAATGCAAGTTTGTGCATAAGCTGCAAGGCAATGCGTGTTTATTTGTATAGCACATTTTCATGCACAAAGGCAATTCATGGTGCTTTACATAATGTGTGCATGCATAAAAACATTAAAATGTAAATTAAGAGTGGATGGAAAAATAAACTTATAGTGTCAAATTAAAAGTATAGACACCTCTAACAAAAGAGATATTAATTAAAAGCAGCAGAAAAAAGAACAGCGTGTAAGTGCAGTCAGAATGCTATTGAATCAGCCAGACCACATCTGGACGTCTTCACTACTTGCATAACTGAATACTAAAACAAAAGCCCACACATTGTTACTTTATGTGAGACATGTTAAATTGTTGTGACTAAGGAAGTTTCAGATGTCTTTAACCTTGACCTTGCTGTTCTGTTTCCATCGTGCAAATGGATGGAGAGGGAGAAAATGTGATACCCAGCAGACTGACCTCAACCTTTGATAGTTATCAGTCACGCTGAGGCCTTATCTCAGCTGTCTGAACAGTCTCAGGGGAGCCTTGGCTCTAATTGACCTCAGTACCCCAACACCAAATTCTCATTCCTCATCTGTCAGGCCCATTAAAATTCTAAAGATTTCATTATGAATCAACTTGAAACTGTTATTTGAATTGTATTGCAAATAATTTCATTTGTACACAGAAACACCAAGAACAAGTTAAGACAATTTTTGATTTCTTTCTTTTTTCATCCCTTGTCTTTGCAGCAACAGGTAATAAATATATCAAGAACAGTTGCAGTCACACAGATTCAAGGCCAAGCAGGACATTCTTCTGTGCTACCTGTTAAGAATATATTAAATCAGTGTGGAGCCAGAACTCCAAAGCTGTCATCAGACCAGCCCAGAATCCTCTATCAGTGTGGGGACTGTGATGAACTTTTCAAGACCCTGGACCTTTGGCAGCAACACCGTAAAGAAGGGACATGTCAGCAGTCCACCTCTGGGAGCAAGTCAGATTTTACTTCACAGCCCGAGGCAGAGACTTCCTTAGCTCAGAGCTCCACTTCAACTCTAAATCCTAAAGATTCTTATCTCTCAAAGACTCAAACTAGCAAGAAACCTAAGCCAGAACCAGTGGAGGACGTTGTAACAGACGAAGAGAAGCTGCCTGTTGCCGAGGCCTCTTCAGCTCAGAACTCTGATCCTCCTGTTTTCGAGGTGACGGCTGCGACATCAAATCCAGAGGATTCGTCTGCCAAGAAAAGAGGGGCAAACAAAAAGCCTAAGCCTGATCCGGTTCTTCTGTGTGTGGACTGTGGCTCATGCTTTGGCCTGGTGTCTGAACTAGTGGCCCACCGCAAGACCCAGCACGGCTTTGAGGAAGCCCTGCACCGCTGCTCTGTGTGTGGGGAGTGCTTTCTAAACACCACCCTGTTTCTCTACCATCGCAAGCAACACCGGCAGAAAGGTGAGGAAAAAGTGGGAGCTGTTGCTGAAGCAGCATCAGAGGACATTTGTACCCAGAGCAATGGAACTGATGAACAGGAGCAGGATGCCACTCCCTCCACCACCAGTGTGACCTCCACTTTCACACAGCCAGAGTTGTTTATGTGCACCCAGTGTGGGGAGAGCTTCAGCGAGGAGGGAGAACTAGTTACTCATCGTAAGCAGAATCATGGCCTGAAGGAGCCACTACACAGTTGCTCCCATTGTGATATGAGCTTTATGAATACCACCCAGTACCTGTACCATCGCCGTGAGCATTGTATTACATCAGGGAAAGAAGTGGTAGATATAGCTGAAACTGCTGATGAGACAGCTAAAGCTGAAACCCAGGATACCTCACAGAGCTCAAAGCGGCTGCGTTCCCCCCCTGCCTCGGCTAGTGAGTCAAGTTCACCTCTTTCTAAGAGAAAGCGGCCCATTTTCAGGATCCTGAGTGGTACCAGCGCACTCAAAGGTAGGTGGAATTACTTGTTTTAGACCCAAATTAAGGGATTTATTGCAGGATGTTTTGGTCTCTAGTGATCTGTCTTTTGTTGTCAGGAAAAAAGGGTTCTAGTGTCAAAGAAGAATCAGAGGGCAGCACTGCAGCAGACTCAGACAGCACCAACCACCCTCTGCCTGCCAAACTGATGCAGGACTGGGCTCGCACGCCGCTGCCCCACGTTTGCCCTTACTGTGGCAAAACCTTCACCCGACGCGTTTTCCTCCGCACTCATGTGTACAGCCACACTGGAGAAAAGCTCTTCACATGCAAGGTGCCAGTCAAGATTTGTTCAAGTCTGAGGGATAATTTGCTTTGATGTAAATGTCATTTATGTAACGTCGCTGATGCTGAGAAGATGATGAAATGCTTTGAAGTGGAGGCAGATAAGATGTGAACCTCTAGCCTCATTATATTTGACAGATTCTCCAGTATCATTACACAGTGGAAATTACTTGGAAAATTATGATTTGAGCACATTTAGTCATGTACAACTTAATCTTTTTCTTTTTTTTTTTTTTTTTTTTTATAATTTAAAATTACTTTTGTTGTGCAGGTGTGCACAAAGTCCTTCAGTAACTCCCAGAGCCTGCTGCGCCACAGCATGAGCCACACAGGCGCCAAGCCCTTCAGCTGCGATGTTTGTGACAAGAACTTCTCCCAGGCAGCCACCCTGAAGAGACATCAACGCATTCACACATCAACAGAGCCACGGCGCAAGCGTGGACGAAAGCCGGTACGCCATTTTCTGTTTGCTAAAATAGTTCTCAACATATACAGTGTATAATGGAAAAACGCTACATGAAATTCAGATAATTCTGAGATTTGTGTGGCTGTCATCAGTTGTTTAGTTAGTAGGTGTCACACTTTTGAAATAGTAGATGACTGAAAAAGAATTGTCCTTTTTTGTTGACCTTGACTGTTTTATGTGCAGGTGTGTACTTTGGACAGTGAGGGATCTGCTCATCTGTTCCCTTGTCCTCACTGCCCGTCACGCTTTAACACGGAGGATCAACTTAACCATCACAAGTAATAATACTTAATCAAATTTTAGCATATTTTCTTTGCATTTTTATTTGAGTGTAAGTGGAATTATCTGCAACTTGTTAGAAAGTTGGCCATATTCAATCATTTCAAGCCCTGTTTACTGTGTAAATACATTAGAATTACGGCAGGATTTAGATATCCCCCAGTCGCCTGGAGCTGTAGTAGTAGCTGAGCTGTGTCCAACTACTAAGAAAGACCTTTAAGCTGTGTAGCAGGTATACTGACTGAGATGTGTGGGTGCCCTTGGGCATCAGTCGCTTTGACAGACAGAGGCCCAATAAATTGAGATGATAACGATAACAACCCAGGATGGAGGAAGAGCCTGTTCCTGTCCTGCCTGGTTGAGCAAGGAAGAGAGGATAAAATGTGGTGGAAAATAAATTTTTTTTAAACCAGCAGGACAGTGATCTCGTTGTGGATGTTAACCGTGCAAAATTAAATCTGAATGTTAGTGCTTTAATGTCAATTTTTTTTTAAAGTCAGTGCGTTGGAGAGTGAAAAGCAAAGCAAAGAAAAAGAAGCTGAGACACTAAATGCCGTCCTGCTGTACACACTCACACACACACCTCTAACAAAGTTCCTTTGCTCGCACACTTGTGATTATCCTGATATTGAAATGTAACATTTTGGCCACGTTCTGCTCTACTAAAAAGTAGGAATTAATGTTATGCCTGGTTGAATTTTTGATAAATGAAAATGGTCTATAACATGTCAGAAAAGGAAGAAGATGCCCATCATAGATTGTTTTGTTTGAAAAATAGCCTCAAACCCAAAGATTTTCACTTTGAAAATAATGTTAAGTCAGCGTCCAACTGCAGACTTTTCTCAGGGCTACATCTCACCGTCTTTATGAGCAGATGGAGCTTGCTCATATGTCACCTGCAAAAAAAGGTTCTTGAGTTAAGATGTTTCTTTGTTTATTTTCATGGTCAAGAATGAACTCTGAGCTCAGCAGAGACAATCAAGTTCCTACCAGAGAGGTACAGCAAATGATAAAGTGTTCATCTTAGTCAGTGGATACCACCATGTAGTACTAATACTGCATGTTCAGCATCACCTCTACTCATTAAAGAACATCTGGCTGGGAGGAGAGGTGACCCTGACAAAACATTGAATTCTCCCAGTCGGTTCAGGGTCAGCTGTCCCTGATATATTGATTTCTGTTGTCTGCTGAACAGGGAACAGAAACAGCCTGGCCTCTTGTACACGCCTTGAGAGGTCCTTGTCCATCACCTCTAGCATCCTGCTTTACTTTAAGTCATTTTATGGTTAAGTACTTTTGCTATACATAATTCATATGCCTACATGTATGTTTTTAAACTTCAGTATCATTCGTGTCTGTTCAGATTCTTAGAAGCTGCCAAAAGTAACAGTGTTTTCTTTTTTTTTCCATTCTGTGAAAGCAGGCCTGATGCAGCAGTAGGTGAACACATTCTAATACTTTTCTCCTCCCCTAAGGCACATCCAGCGTAACATTATGCAATGGATAAATATAGTCTTTCATGCTCTAACTCCGACTCCTCCCAGGTTACTGCTGTTCTTTTATCTCCAGCCGTTCAGCTAATACGCCTTATTTAACCTGAAGCACAGCTATGCACGCAGGCAGCTTGAAAACAGAACATGAATTTTTCCATCTTTTTATTAAGTTTTTTCTTTTTATTTGTGGGGCTTAGGTGTAATTATTCATTTTAATTGAATGTAGATAATTATTGCCTACACCTGCGAGGCATGCTGTTTGCCGATTTCCCATCTGGATATGTTTGGTTTTTAATATTTGTGAGTTTAAAAAGTTTGAAACTTATCATTGTCTGCTATATAGTTAAATAAGCTTACTTTGTTGTGTTTGTGCACTTGGTTACGTGTGTTTTTGTGTTTAAACAGACTGCTCCACACCAGCCACCCGTTCCCTTGCCCTGAATGTGGAGCGGCCTTCAAACGCAGGAAAGACCTGGACCTGCACTCCCTCACTCATCAGGGTGAGAGATCAGGGCTTGGCCTGACATATATTATTCACCCCCATATTTGTGCCGTTGTCCTTACATCTCTCTTCTTATTGTACATCCTTTGTTTTTGCAACCATTTCTTGTCTTCCGTCTTGCAAGTTCATGTGCCTCATTAAAATGGACAATACGATATTCTCATCAGTACAGCATGCAGGGTGTTGCTATTGTTTAAAGCAATAAATTCCCCCATCAGCTTGTCTGGGAAGTCCTACATCCATATTACGTGTATTGTTCCTGTGATGCATTATGTCCGTGACTTTCCATTGATTTGCATCCCATATGGAAAGGAAGAGGAAGGTGAAGGTAAATGAATTGGGTCAACATGTTAACATGTTGACACTTCATCTAAATTAGGGGGGCGTTGGCATAGCAACCTTGTTAGTTAAGCGTGATGAGTCAGCGTGCATCAGGCAGAGGCATGCGGTTCCTCTGAGAAAGATGATTGGAGAGATTGATCCATTGATCAGTTCAGGGCCATAGGCTGAAATCGTAATTAGAGGGTCCCAGTGGTGAGCAGGGTGGGTATCCCCCCCCCCCACTGGGCCAGACAGTACAGATGGTTAGCAGATTGCAAACTGTTGGTGTGATGACCTGTGGGCATACTGATGAACCATCAGTGATTTTTTTTTTTTTTTTCCCAGCCAGGTTTTCAAGAACAGCCCAGTTAGAGTGAGTTTGCTTTGCCAAAGCACAACTAGGGCATCAAGAGATTAGAGCTGAAATGATTAGTTGATGAACTGATTGGCCAATTAATTTGCAACAATTTTGACACTCAATCACAAAAACCCATTTTATACTGTATAAATAATGAAACTTTTGAAATTGCCATCATTCACTTTATTATTTACATCTCTTCTTTGTGACTTAGACTTTTTCTGATGTGTCAAATTGTTATGTAAAAAGTATTTTTGTTTAATCACTAATTGCAGAACACGTTCGGGGCCAGAGGGGCCAACTCCTTCCTGTGTGTTCATATTAGGAGCAACCACTGACCACAGTCACAATCTTCCATTGTTTGTTGAGACTAAAAAACTGTCTGCATCTGACACTGTTGCCCATCAGTGGCCATTTCTGTATGCAGGCTATCACCTGTCGCTGCACGATTGTTCACCAGACACTAGCATGGCGCAGTAGCTGCTTGTAGTATGAGGAGTCTGACAATATGTCTGAACTCTGTCACTTTTTCATTGTAGACAAGGAGCCAGCGAACTGCCCTCACTGTTCATCACAGTTTGTGAACCAGGCAGTGCTGGAAATCCACCTGCAGCGCTGTCCAACTTCTGAGGAGGAGAGGAACACTGGCCGTGGACGGGGGCAGGGGCGGGGACGATGCACCGGGCAGGTTAGGAGCGCAGAACATCATTATTGGTGGTTTTTTAAACTTTTCAACTCCAAGGACATTCAAAGAGTGAGAGAGCATACATAGGTTTAATAAGAATGAAGCGAGTACTTGAAATGCTGTGTGCCTTTTTTAAAATCAGTTTATTTCCATCTTTTTTAAATGATTTTTGTCATATTGCCTTTATTGGATAGCTGACATTTGAGACCAAGAAGAGATGTGGGAATAGGGAGAACGGGGTGATATCTAACAAAGGTCTCCCACTGTAATTGAACTGTGATATTGTGGCTACATCCTGATTAGACCATAAAATCAGCAGTCTTTTTTCTTTACGTTAATTGCCTCCCTCTCTGTCTTCGATGTCCTTACTTTGTGGTTTGTCTCCCTCCTATCTCTTTTCCTCCCTCAGATTGAGTGTGACCTATGTGGCCACCGTTGCATGACCCAAGAGGGCCTCGACCTTCATCGGTTATCCCACACAGGCCAGACACCTCTCAAATGCCCAGTGAGGCCTTGCCGCCGCCGATTTACCTCCAACGGTGCCTTGGAGGAACATGTGCTGGCCCATATCCAAGGGACGCTCAGCAAGTCCAAAAACCAACCTCGCTTCCACTGTCAGATTTGCCAGAAGGAATTTGCCTACAATTCCACCTTCAGTGTTCACATGAGGACACACACTGATGAGAGGCCCTTTGAGGTAAGGAGGAGGGTGGTGGTGTGTGGTTCTTGCATAAAGAGGGAATTTCTCTCCACCTCTTGAAACATATTTTGTCCTTTTCCTACAAGGCTTTCAGTCATTCTAACACCTGTATTTTAAATTGAAATCCAGCACTACCTCATCCCCGCGGTCACACCTTTTTTTAGCTGTGGCCATCTCTCCGGCTGCGGACCATGACCATTTATGCAGTGTCCTACGGGTGTTTCCTCCCCCAAGTGTACCTGTGATTAATGGCAGGGCTGAGTTAAGGCCTGTCAGTGCCCCTCTGTGTCTGTTACTATTCTGGGACTTTCTGCCTCTCCCTCTACTGCTCTGGTGATGAGGCGGGACATCAACTATAGACCCACTCAAGCCCATCACAGCACATCAGTCTGTAGAAATTGATTTAATGTTTGTGGCTTTGCTTGGAGTCATATCTATCAGGCAGGCTAAAAACTGAGGTTCAAGCAGTATTGGTCCTCAAACACAGAGGCAGTTTTGGAGGATTAGTTTTAATTTAAATCAAATATAGTGTGTGTTCCTGAAGGAACACCTATATTTGCTGAGTATATAAAGAGCAAACTCAACAGGAAAGGCAATTTTATTAGAGAATAATTCACAGAGATACTGAAACTGCAAAACTGACGATAGGGATTACAGTTTCAATCTGAGTATCCTCAGTAAGTATCAAAGCAAAGCACAACAAAGTTAATCGGGTGTCTAGTTATGGTTCATCGTCTGCACTCAGGTGGGAGCAAACAGAGAGCAAATGTGAGGGTGGCAAGTCATTTATTAAGTAAAAATTCCCAACAGTCTGCTTCTAGCTTCTTAAATGTAAATATTTGCTGGTATTCTTCGCCTTCAATGGTAATAAACTATATTGTTGGGCTTTGCACAGTTGGTTGGACAAAACAAGAAGACGTCACCTTAAGCTCTAGCACACTATAATGGACTTTTCTAATGTTTTATAGACTGAGACAATTAATCGATTATTCGACAGTGAAACAAACGTTGCGGGGTAACACACTTGTCATTGTTATTGCTTTGTATCTGTCTTTCCCTTTCTGTCTACACACACACCCTGTTCTCTCTGCTCCTACTCTGTCCCAGCCAGAAGTGCTGCATCTGCAGGAAAATATAAATTGCAGTTGAGTCTGTGCACTAGCACTGTTGTTAATGTAACTTATATTTTCTTGCCTCCTTACTTTTTTTTAATACTCTTTTATGCACTTCCCCTTTTCCACTTTTTCATCCCTCCACCAGTGCACCAAATGTGGCAAGCGCTTCCGCCAGCTGCCCCACCTTCAGGACCATGAGCGGATCCACAGTGGCCTGCGTCCTTTCTGCTGCTGGATTTGCGGTAAGAGTTTCAGCGTGGCTGCCCGTCTCACCGAGCACGCCCGCACCCACAGTGGCGAGAAGCCCTACCCCTGTCATCACTGCCCTGCAGCTTTCCGATCTCGTTCTAACCTGGATAAACACATCCGGCTACATGGAGAGCTGCCTGAGGAAACCGCCGAGCAGGTGGCACAGGCAGCTGAGGCCGCCCAGGTCCAGAAGGTGCTGGAGGGGGCCAAGGTGCTGTCCTCTCTGGCCGCCGCAGGAGAGGCTGAGTCTGGCTCTGTGCAGACAATTTATGTCCTGCAGGGGGGCGAAGGAGGCACAGACACTGTCATGATCCCATCTGATCAGCTCAGTGGCATGGAGGGAACATCGCAAGTCGTCATCCTGCCCACGTCTGTTCTGGGAGCTCAGACCATTACAGTCCCCACTATCACCATGGATGGAAATGAAATCACCATGGTGGAGGCGTCACCGCAGCACGCCATTGAGTTCATAGTGGAGGAGACTGTATGAAGGCAGTTCAGAAATTTTTGTGGAAAGGAGAACATGGTTTAGACAGAGTGAAACGTTTGTTGAGAACATCAATGTTGATGGAGTGAACAGTTTGGTAATTAAAGGGTGTGCAGTTGTTACCTTTATATGAATATAGTTTGATAGGTTTCTAAGCCAGTTTAAATAAAGGTCTCCTCCTGTGAACAGTCATTTAATAACATTGTTGAAACAGTATAAAAAGTAGTGAAACTAGGGAAGAAATGCTCAGGAGAGGAGACTGTACCGTAGATTAGTCATTTGGGAAAAGGTTGGAGAATTTGTTCTTGATTGTATTTACAGCCCTTGTTCATAAGGGTAAGACTGGCAGTGGCCTGTGAAATGTCTTCTGCTTTCTTCACAATAAAAAGCTTCAGCTTTCACATCTGTGAATGTCAGTCATTTTATAAGGTGGATGACACAAGGGCATTAGTCTCATCCTATCAGAAGAGATGGACTTCATAGGCCCTGCAGTAAATTGCCACATCTGCCTTTTGACAAACAGTGTGAGGACCTTTGCTGAAAAACGGACGGACTCTGCACCAGTTAGTGTACAGCTCTTCAAATCTCTTTGTCCCACTCTGTCACATACACCCTAATGTTCTTGGAAGGCACAATAAGGTAGAATTGTGTGTATAGATCAACCCTGATGTTCCAGTAATTTGTAGGATGTTATTGATAGGTTTTGTGCTGTAATTAAATACAGTAATAACTGAAATACAGCAGGATTTATGATGACCTAGCTGAAGTACAACATTATGCAGTGGCAACTAGTGTAACGAAATTATCCAGCACTTGCCGTATAGTTATCAAAAATAATGATCCTATTTGTGTGTGAATGGGAAGAGCCATAATGTGATATCAGTTTTGCCAGCGCTGCAGTAGCCCATTATTGGCTTCTGAAGTGCAGTTTATGGCTGTCTCCCACCCAGTGATTGCTGACAGGGGGGTTTGAAACCACACACACATAAGCACTCAGTCTTAGTTTGTTTTCATGTCATGGAGGGAGAAATGCTGATGATTGTGCGGGTAACTGAAATGAGGAAATGGCAGTGTTTCTGCAAAAAGAGAAGCATATCAGGACTATGAGGGCTCCCGAGGAGCAAAAAGAAGCCAATGCCAAGAATTTCAGCTGCTCTTCATTACTTCTCTAAGACACTCAACAAGCAACCAAACAATAAACTTGTTGTTTTTTTTCCTTTCCTTAGCAAATCTTGAGAGCTGTAATTGTGTTGGAGTGCAAGTTTATCATATCTGCAGCCTAACGCTGAAACTGAAAACGAGTAATGAAATAGTTGACGCTGGCTGTGAAATCATGAGACCTGTACGCTGAGGGAGGCAGTCTGACTGCAGTATAATCTTTGTCTTTCTGCTGTACATAGGACAGCGTTATCTGGCTGTGCTCATTCCTTACTCAGACTGAACCTTGTGGCTTTGTTTTTGTTCTGAATTAGTAATGACCATGGGTGAACAGATTTTTCACACAGTCATGCACTTAAATGCAGTTAAGTCTGTAGTTTAACTAAAAGGCTTTGAGTGTGATATTTACGTGATGTTTCCAAGATGTTCACTGACATGTCTGATCTGGTTTTGTTTGCAATATGTTTTTAAACCACCACCAGTTAAGAAAGTATGCTGTTTAACAGCTCTTTGTCAAACCGCTGAATTAAATGTCCTTCATTAATGACAAAGTAATAATCTTCAAAAAAAAAAGAAAGAAAGAAAACACTGCAACTAGTCAGAGACACTGCAGTGTTCATGAGGAACGATTTCATCTTTAAAAACTAAACTGTTAAAATCTAGAAGCTCCAAGGTCATCGCTGTAAATTAAAGATATTTTCACCTTTTATTAAAAAAGCCTGCAGTTCACAGGAAGAACAGTTTGTTTAATTGAAAACACACCGTTGAATAAACGGGCTGTTGTGTGAAAATACACACAAATTTACATACAAATGATTTATAAGCATGCATGTACATAGCTGAAATGAATATAAACAACTGCAGGAGCAGCACCTGAATATGATTTTTTTTTTTTAATGCAGTGAAATTTATTGGACAACTGTGATACCTGGAAAAAAGAGAAACGAGCATGTGCAGTAGCTGCTGTCACCCTTTGACTCTCACCTTGTTTTAAACACTAAAAATACCCAAGTGACCCTCAGGAGGCAATGTGGATATTCAGCTCCCACAGCAGTAAACTAGCGGACATCCCAGTGTCCCGTGCAGGTGGAGGACATCAGGGCCTCTGTTTCTAGCTCATATCTCCAGGTAGGAGCATGTAGTGGAACGGATAGCTATAGATAGGTGGACATTTAACACCATTACAAGTTGCTTTAAGTTTTATTGTATCTTTTAAATAAACAATGATATTTGGCATATTTTTTCTGTTTTCAGTGTAAAGCTCCAGATCAAAAGCATTTATACTAAGTGGTAGAATATTTTTAACCATTTTCAGCTATTGTATCAACATTATTGCATTATTTTAGCTATTTAATGTTACACCACATTATGTTTCAACTTTGTGTTTATTACTTTTGGCCAGTGCTAATTATCCATTACTTTTTTCATTATTTTAAGCTGTTTTAACTTTTTGCTAACAGTCATCACTTGTCCTTGTTCCCATTTCTTTTAGTTATTTCAAATATTTATACAGTATAATGCTTTTTTGTTTCAAGGATATATGATTTTTTAGCTTTTTTTTCTTTAAGCTGTCTTCAACTACTTATTTTAGACTTTTATTTCAACCATTTCCCACAATTTTTAGTTAACATTTCAACTGTGTATCCATTACTTTTAGCTTTTAATTTTTGACATTTTCTCATTTTAGCTAATATTATTTGAAGCCATTATTTTAGCTATTTCGACCACTTATTCATTGTCTACTAATTCAGTAGCTGTTTCCACACTCATCCATTGCTTTAAGCTATTTCAACCACTTATCTGTAATGTCTAACTCTTTTAACCATTTATCCATTATTTTAGCTAACTATTTGTACAATTTGTTATTTCTGGATATATATTTTAAATGCATTTGTTTCGTCAGCATTCCATTTCAGCCATTTCAGCCATCGAATACTTTTAGCAAGCAACTGAAACTATTTATCCATAATTTGTAGCTATTTCAACCATTTTTCTATTTTGGCTACAGATCATTTTTACTTGAAATGTAATTTCCACTTTTTCACACACAAAGAAGAAGTACCCCTGGAACACAAGTACCCCTGGTTGTGAGTCACTGGTGTAAACTATTCTCCTAAATAACAAAATAGCAAACAAAAAGAAAAGGCACATTAATAAATGCTATGAATAATCAGTACTCTTACCTTAGCTGTCAGTTTTAATTGGACTTTTTTTCAATCTGCTGTACGGGCTTTTAATGTGAAGTAATGTAGTGTAATGGTATAATGGTCTGTCTGAACGATGCACTACGGAACTAAGCTACAATATCCTGGAGACAAATTATAGTGCACAAGTGGAAGTAAAGCAAAATAGTCATACAGTAAACTTCTGTACAGTCACTGTGAACCCAGTGAGTCCCCAGAGAAGCAGTAAAGTTGTGCTTTAGTGATGGTATTTTTATCGACATCTCTGCAAGTTGGAGATGCCGGATAAAGATCTGTTTCGGAGCCAACATGAAGGAGTATTTATGTTTTGATGACACAGTGAAGAAAAGATGCAGTTTAACAACAGGACCATTTTCTTCATATATGATAATTGCAGTATTCCTGTGATATTTTTAAAGTGACATGTCTTTAAATACTGTATGAGCATTCATAACCAATTCATTGCTGTACTTCATGCAAAATAAACCAAATAAATAAATAATCATGTCTTATTTACATGTAACAGCTGATTTCATCCTGCCATTAAACAAAAAATTTAAATAATACTGCAATATCTTTCTGAGTGATGTAATATAAATATCACAGCAAAACTATCATGTAGCCCTTAAAGGTCAAAACTTTTACCACTGAAAATCACATTTAGTAGCTAATGCTACAGAAGAATGAAAGTACCATAAATCACTAAAAAAAGGTCAAAGTACTGTATATGCAGTGTTATGTAATATGTCCCTGTATATGGGGAGACAGTCGTGTTATATTTATACAGTGTATACAACACTGCAGATATACTGTAGCTGCATACTGCTTGGGGTGTGGTGCATGTTTGCATTTAGCCAGTCTGTGATTCTAGTATGTTTTTCTTTTTTGCACATACATCCTAGAAGAGGGGAGGCTGGTTAAGATCATGTAATTACAACATGATGAATGGTGTATATGTGAGGTTTTGGCAGTCTAAAATCAAAGCATCAGCACTGATCTAACTATTGTTTATATCATTAAAAATGAATGTAATTTAATACAATAATTCCTGCTATTTGCTGTGCTATGCAAATTGAATTACAGTAAATGATAATACTGATTCTCCGTCTCAGTTGGAAAAACATTTCACTTCTCGTGATAATCTGTCTCGACAAATAAAGTATGAGTTAGGGGGTATGTGAAAACATGATGTCGCCCTTTGTGTTTGACTAAGTGAGCGCACAAGCTACTGCTGACTTCCCAACTCTGTTATCATATCCTAGTTATTAATGTATGATTGACCTATTTAAGTAATAGTGTTCATTTATCATTCTCTATTCCATGTGATTACACTTGTTTTTTTTTTTTGCTTGCACATGCTTCCTAGCCATCCTCTGTCCTTTTTTCATTTTCTTTTTCTCCTTTCTTTTTTCATCATCACTCCTCTGCTCTGTCTCTGTCTCTTCCTCTTTCCCCCTGTGACATAGACTCTGTCTCTCTTTGCTGAGGTGGCTGTACCTGGTGTGACTTTGACAAAGTAGTCTCCACGCATGCAGTGGTGTATTTCTGTGTGTGTGTGTGTGTGTGTGAGCTGCTGCGTGTTTGTGTGCATGCAGCGTTTGCACTTGCGTCATTTTTAGTTTGCCTGACCATCTTTCAACCTGCACACTGAACACATGCATCAGTGTGTATGCAGCATTCTAGCACCATACGTCTGCTGCTTATGTCATACTACACTCCTCTGTTAGGTCTCCCATTACTCCTCACTTTTTCATCCCTTGCTCTCTTGTTCATCTCGCTTCTCCCTGTGTGCTCATCTTCTTTAACACCCCCACCTTCAGTTCCCCATCTCTCTCTCTCTCTCTCTCTCTCTCTCTCTCCTCCGTCTCTACCCCCTCCCTAATGCTTCTTCCTTCCTCTCTCTCTCACTCATTGATAGTGAAGCATATGTGACTAGAATCCTGGAGGAGCTAATCATTATTCCACGAGCAGAGCTCAGTGCTTGGGCAGAATGTCAAACCCCCACCCAGTCTCCCTCTCCCTCCCCACTTTTTCATGCTTTCCAAACAGTAGTTAACATGGAAACTACATTTGTCTTCTACAAAAAGAAAAATTAAGGGAACACTCTTCTAAATACATATTCACAATTACAAGCACTGAGCTCTTCACACCTGCAGCAAAGGGTATGTGTAATGGTTGAGTAAGGTTTGCATTTGTACTGTCTATGGTATTTAGAGTGTGCATGTGTATGCGAGACTGTGTGATACGTAGTTGTTATGTAAAACACTCCACATCAATTTGTCAAGAACAAAGTGGTGTGGGATGGAGATGAGAGAGAGACAGCTGTTGAATGCATATTTAGTGAGAGAAGGGAGAGTGGAACACAGAGTGACAGCAGGCTTTCAGTGAGGCCTAAATTGCCAGTAATATTAAGTTAAATTCCTGATTGCATTTCTGCATGGTGGATTATCAAAATATAGTATAAATAGTGCTGAGAACCACAAGATGGGTAAATTAGACCAGAGGTTAATTAGACAACACACACATGCTGGGACTATAGGGCGTGTGTCAGTGTGTGTGATGGAATGAGAGAGACTCCCCTTGACTTCCTAAAAACTGCAGCTGTGGGTCACAGTCAGGGGGTAACACTGGCCCTCCCAACCCTTCAACACACACTCAAAACATAAATACAGAATTTTAGATTTGCGAGTTGGTCGGATGCAGATGCAGTCATGTCCAGACATCTACACAGAAACACACATAGCAAAAAATTCCACGTCCTGAGAAAACCTCTGGTGTGACATGGCGGCAGTCTAATAGGCTCAAGCGTGAGTAGTAGGTGTCCCAGCGCTGTCCGCCCACTGGACAAAGACATCTTGATATGCAAAATGAATAGGTGAAAACATGATGAAGCATTGGGTGGGGGGTGCTGTTTGAAACCAAACCGAGGAGACAGCTCGGCACTGTCACATACTGTATCTGCCCCGCTGTTGGATTAGTTGACAGCTTAGTGCACAGACCAAAGCCGACACATCCAAAGGCTCAAATCAGAGGTGATTAGTCAGCATAAACTGGATCTACGTATGTTCCCACTGTGTGTATATAAATTTTGGTGGATTAGATCAATTTAGATTAATTATTGATATACACATGGTAGGTTTAGTTCTCATTTTGTAAATTTAAAATCTAACAGTAATCTTGTGTCCTAACATCTATTTTAAACTCTTTCAAAGCATTATTTACAAATATCACTGCAAGGCAACACAATGTTATCACTAGCAGTTGAAGAGCCACCTCATGCACAGAGCGACAAAATCAATGATTCAACACACTGTGGTGAGTTTAATAGCCTTGGAGGACATAAAATGCTAAGGGAGCACTGGGGCTGCAAGGTTAAGAAACAGATCTATATTGAAAAGGCTACTTTGGCTGACTAGAGCACCAGAGAGGAACAAAGATATCATAAGGTCAGTATCTCAGTCTCGTTAGGGGGATGAGACAGTGTGATGCGATAAAAGTGGGGTATGGGGGTTTTAGGCAGTGACATCAGACTGCTGTCTTCTTCCAGTGGGCTCATGATGTTGTGGAGTTGTGCCTCGTATGAGCGAACATTATGAATATGGAGGAGAGTGTCATCTCCGTTCTATGAGCCCTGTATGAAGTGTCAGGGGACTCTGGTGAGAGGAGAGATGCATTGTTTGAATGTACAATATGCGTGCATGTGTACACTCAGTTTTGAGAGTGGGCAAATCCTTGTCTTAAGTATCAGTGAAATATGCTCCATTGCCAGTAAAAGCCCTCTATGCAAAAGTAAAAGAACTAGCACCAAAACGTGAAGAATCGAAAGTACTCCCAATGTAGAATAGCTGTTTCTATAACTGCATTATATACTATCATACAGTATACAGTATGTACAGTATACCCTAATGTGTACATGGAATTAAAATTCTATAGTCAGTCAAAGTGGAGCTCATTTTAACTACTTTATTTCCACCAATCAGCCATAACACTATGACCACCTGCCTAATACTGTGTACACAGCAGTCAGTGTAGCAGTTGGCTGGCACTCAGGCCACTGCAGCTCATCAATGTGCAGTATTTCTTATTTTCTCCCACTGTAACAGAGATTCAAACAAAATGGAATCTTTTGAAAAGGATGAATGAAATTTAGAAGTTTAATCTACAGTAGGTCATCAGTGAGCCCTGGGTGTCCATGACCCTGTTGCTGGTTCACTGTCAGTCCTTCCTTAGACACTGCTGATAGGTACTAACCACTGCAGACCAGGAACAAGACCTGCAGTGTGGGAGATGCTCTGACCCAGTCGTCAGCCATCACAGTTTGGCCTTTATCAAAGTCACTCAGATCGTTACACTTGTCTGTTTGTCCTGCTTCAAACACATCAACACATCGAGGACTGAATGTCCACTTGCTGCCTAATATACCCCACATACTGACAGGTGCTATTGTAACAAGATAATCAGTGTTGTTCACTTCACCTGCCAGTGGTCATAATGTTATGGCTGATCGGCGTATAGTAAATCTTTAAAAATCAATAATTTTAAAAATCCTATCACAAGCACCTTTGTTGCATCTCTCTGCTGCAAACAAATCTTAATCAACAAAGTAACTTGTAAATAAAGTTGTCAGATAAATTTAGTACATCATTTCCATCAGAAAAATTGTGGAGTGGAAGAATGAAACAACTGAAACTTTCAGGTAAAGTACAAATACTTCAGAATTGTTCAGTTATTGTTACTGAGTGAATGTACTCCATTACAAGTTTGATCTAACATCATGCCCAGTATGTTTACCTCTGCTTCTCCCAATCAGTGTCATTATGTCAACATGTGCCCAGATGTGTGTTTACATCTGATTCTGCTGTGTGTTTCTATGTGTGTGTACTTGTGTATATGCTTGTGTGTCTGACAGCGAATGATGTGTGTCATAGGGTAAGAGGCGAGTTGCATGGTGGTGTGATAGCGTTTGTCACTCTGAACATGTAGCCATGTCAAAATCTGTCAGGGTAGTTTACCTTGGCTGGGGATGTAACACATGATTACTCTCCCTCCCTCTTGTTTGTTGGTCTGTGTGTGTCTGTTTCAGATAATGTGTGTTTTCTATACGGCCAGTTTTTTTGCCATTTCCCTTATTTCAAATACTTATCGCAGAGACTAACAGAGAGAAAAGACGGGGGGGGGAGTTGATATTCATCTTTGAGAAAACTACCTAGGAGAGAAAGAGAGAGAGAGAGAGTAAA